AAACGTGTGCACCGTGTGTGGTTCTTGCTCAATGTCTCTCCTTGATCTCTAGGTTCTAGTACTGTACAGAACTCACAGGCAAAAGTCAGATTCCAGGGTTTATTTGTCTCTGAACAACTTGGCTAGCAACTGTTGAATGGAAACCTAAATTCTCACCAAAAGCACAATTTAAACAAACAAACAAACAGAGTTTATTAAGGATGCGAACATTGTGATGCTTGTGAGAAATGCTCAGGGTTATTTATCAGGACTTGTCACTAAGTCCTGTGGAATCTGCTAATAAATGCCCAAAGGGCATACCATTCTGCCATAAGCTTCAACCCCAAAGCATGCAGCTTAGCAATGCGGGTCAGCAAGTTAAGTGCTCAGAGCCACCCCACTTCAGTCAGGCTCAGTCCTAAAGCACTCCACGCCACTTCCGTGGTTCAGCAAGCCCAACTTCCCAATTCAGTGCCCAGAGGCACCCCACTCCACAAGGCAGCCTGCTGCACAAAAGCACTCAGCTTTCCTTGCTCTGTGGGTTGGGAACTCTACCACGCTGTCTCGTGCTCTGGCTCCTGGTTCTGCCACTGCTCCACTGATGGTATAGCTGCCTTCCGGATCCAGGAGGTTCACTGTGCAGGGACCTTAGGTCCAGAGAACACACTCTTCTCCTGGCTCTTTCTGGTCATGAGATCCTTCCTCCGGGTCCTCAGACGGCTATTTTATACACAGCAGGATGCCACTCCGGGAATCCTGTTCACATTGTTCACAGGTGCGTCCAGTCAGTATCTTCCCCCACTTTCTTACCAGACCCGAGCAGGGAAAGATGCTATGGTGGGAGTTGGAGACATTGGCTAGAAAAAGCCACATAAAATAATTCACTGCCCTTGCCTAGAGTTTTCAGCAGAAATGTATCATTTATCATTTTAAAAAATAAAAAATCCACATCATTAGTTATAACAACAAAAAATCTTTCATAAGCCTAGAATACATGTATCAATATCCGAACAAGACTAGCTAGTTTATAGATATATAATTTTATTTGGGGCTCCTACAGCTCTTGTAACAATCCATACATCAATTGTATCAAGCACATTAGTATATATGTTGCCTTCATCATTTTCAAAATATTTTCTTTCTGTTTGAACCTTTCGTATCAACTTCTCTTTTTTTCCCTCCCTCACCTTCATGGACCCCTGATAAATTATAAAGTATTATTATTTCCTATTTTACACCGCCTGCTGTCTCCCTTCAAGTCCACGTTACTGTTGTTCGTTCCCCTGGGGAGGGGGACGAATTATACATCATTGTAGTCAGTTCCCTGTTTTCCCCCCACCCTCATGGTATTGCTACTCCCATACTCGCTAGGCTTTGCCCTTGCTAGTTGACTTTCTGAATCTTCTACTGAGCTCTGGTCCAAGCCGTCGCTGCGACCCAATCAAAATGAGGCTGAACTCACGAGGCTTCAGCTGCACGTGCCCTCAGCACCCACTGCTGTGTCCGTGCCGCCGTGGTGGTGTGCGTGCGTGTGGTGGCTTATGTTGTCAACTGTTCTGGTGTGTTAGGTGTGACATTATGGCGATGAGGGTTGGTGAGTTTGCTTCAAACATTTTTTCTTATAATGAGGTAGTCCTTAAAGGCAACAACGGAGAACCGTTTTTAAAGGCTTCCACTCATTTTATGAATAATGTTATGATTCAGCAACTCAATGTAGAAAGATTTTACCAAAATAATATTATTGCTGGTATTCATTTCATCTAAGAAATGTTACATTCAATCCATTTAAAGTTATATTTACCACATTTATTTTGATGAAAACTGATAATGAAATTTGCCAACGGAGCCCTGATGGTGTAGTGGGTTACTCACTGGTTTGGCTGTTAACTGCAAGGTCAGCAGTTCGAAACCACCGGCTGCTCTGCGGGAGAAAGAGGAGGCTTTGTGCTCCGGTGCGGAGGAGCGACAGTCTCAGAACCCCACAGGGGCAGTTCTACTCTGTCCCAAAGGGCTGCTAAGAGCCAGCCTCCACGTGATGGCAGCGAGTGAGGGTGAGGGCTGGGCCAGAAGAGACCCACGGAAGGAGGTGGGGTGGCACCAGGAATGCCATCCACCCTCGTGATGCTGCTGCTCATGGGACAGTGCGACTCTTCCGTGGAGCAGCACATCTCAACCTGTGGGTCGCCAACCCTTCGGGGGTCGAACAACCCTTCCACAGATGTCGCCCAAGACCATCGGGAAACACATAAATATTCCACAATATAGAATTACGGATTGTTTTGCGATCGATCACTGTGCTTTAATTATGTTCAATTTGTAACAATGAAAATACATACTGCCTATCAGATATTTACATGACGATTCATAGCAGTAGCAAAATGACCGTGATGAAGTAGCAACGAAGGAAAACACAGATATTTCCCATTAAAACAAACAAGAAAAGTGGCCCGTCGGTGCATGTCAAAGCAGAACCTTTATGAGACCCTGAAAGACAAGGCAGCTGCTGGGGCTCTGCCTCTCAGGGTCTCACTCTGTCTCCTCCTACTTTGGGGGTGGGGGTGGGGGTGGGATTGGGGATCAATGGCAGCGGAGGAGCTGGTACCACAGCCCAGGCTTCCTGGTCCCAGGCTGTGCCCTCCCCCCCATCCTGTCCCTAGACTGCTTCTGCCCGAGCACCTCGCTTCTCACAATCCAGGCTCCTGCCCCCGCAGGCCCTGGGAGACGGTCAGTTCTGGGTCCTTCTGCACTGACCCTGAGGACAGTCTGGGACCCACAAATGGCAATGGCGTGGACCTGGCTGACCGCCCTCCCCACCCTGGCCTCAACTCCAAGTCTACTTCCAGTTTTAATCTTTAGACACTTAGACCAATATTTAAGTCTGACGGCTACGGAATCTGGAGAGAGAGATTTTTAAGCCTGTGAGGCTTCTCTCTCTCAGAAGAATATGTTTTATATAGTTAACACAGCCCATTTTGAAAAATAAAATCAGTAATAATATATGATATCCCATTAAAACTCCCATAAATGTGGCTCTTTTCCCCTCCTCCCATTCTCTCTCCTTCCTTCTATCCTTCCCCCCTCCCTGTTCCCAAACTGTCCCTGCCCTCCTCAAAGTCTTATCTTTTGGTGTAAAAGCCATGTTTCTTTTTTTCTTTAGCCACAGTGTCAAACAATATTTATCTTTCTAAGACTGACTCCGTTTTCAAAGCATAGTGCTCTCTAGCTTTGTCCATGTCTTGCGGTGTTGAAGAGGGTTGCCACTGTTTTTTATGGATGCCTACTATTTTATAGCGTGAATATGTCAGAGTTTGTGCATCCATGCCTCTACAGGTTGGCCTGGCTCCCTTGCACTATCATTCCCAGGTGACCCAGGAGGAAGAAGACCCACGCCAGGGAGAGGCAGGGGCCTGGGGAAGTGTGTTGATTTTCAATGAGGCCCTGAGGCAGGGCAAGGTGTTTAGAAGCAGAAACCAGGAACTGGTGATCCAGGTTGGAGAGAGAGAGAGGCAGCATCTAGCTGAGTGGACAGGTGCGCCCAGGTGGCCAGTTGGCAAAAGGGCTCAAATGCCTTTGGTGATGCTCAGTGGTGACAGAGATAGGAGCGAGGGTGGCCCCAGACAAGATTCTAGTGGCACCGTGGGCTAGGTGTTGGGCTGCCCACTGCAAGGTCAGTGTTTCAAATCCACCGGGAGAAAGATGTGGCTGCCTGCCCCCGTAATGATGTAGCGTCTCAGAAACCCTATAGAGTCAGTCTACCCTGTCCGATGGAATTGACTCCATGCAAGGGGTTTGGGAGACTCCGCACAGTCCCTACTCTCCTCCTCTTGAGAAGAAGGTCAGGACCAGGGCACCTTCTGGCCCCCACAGGGTGGACAGAACACTGGAACCAGGAGACAAGCCTCCCCGGGCAGGAGAGATGGTTGGCTGGCCATGGTGTGCCTTGCCCCACCCCCACCCCCGATAGTTCCAGGTCCCCCGCCATGGCCAGCCCCTGCCTGCTCTGCAGAACTTCTGCACCTGAACCTCGAGTCAGAGCCCAGCTTCCTCAGCTCAAAACACCCCAAGCAGCAGATGTTCACTGAGACATCCTACTCAGACCCTCAGGCATTTGGGGGACTTCTAGAAGGTTCCTCAGCACACTGTAGTCCACACACCATCTAATTGATAGAGGGGAAAGGCCTTGCCGGAGACCCCACCCCATAGGCTGGTGGCCACAGCTCTGCCAGAGCCCGCTCCCCGGGGCCCCGGGCTCACTGGCGTCAGCAGCGACACACTCCCTGTCCTATGAGGGCCGGGCACACCCGCTTACTGCTCACTGTTTGCGGCATCCCGGCAGTCATCAGACCCAAGGCCTGGGCGCCATGCTGGGCCGTGCCACTCTGTGGGAATGAGGTGGGGCTCCGGGAGCCAGCTGACCTTCGGGGGCAGCCCCCGGGATGGCCACCGCGCACAAGGAGGGATTCACTTCCAGCCTTGTCTCTCTTTTCTTTCTCCAGGGATTCTGGCCAGAAGCCAAGACGGAAGCCTGCGGCAGGGCAAGGGGTCAAGGGGGATTACTTATCCCAGTAAAGGGTGAAGCTGCCAGGGCTGAGCCGACTTGGGGTGCAGTCTCTTACCTTCGTCAGTGCAGCAGAGCCTGTGGAGCCCAGTGAGGCTGGGGTCAGGGATGCTGGGAAAGGCTCCCTGGAGAGACAGCCTTTGACCTGGGCATTGGGGGACCTCAAGGACTGGTGGGTGGGCCCCTGATGGATGGCGAAGGCGTAGAAGACACACAGCCCACAGCCTGCTCATTGGAGACACCATGCATTCACGCTCTACCCGGGTTCCCTCACCCCCGAGCTCACCGACGAGAAGATGCGCCGCTTCTGACTCACAGTGACCCTATAGGACAGGGTAGAACTGCCCCTGTGGGTTTCAGAGACGGTAACGCTTTCAGGGAGCAGAGAGCCTCATTCTCTGGCGGCCATTGGCTCTGGTGGATCCAAACTGACCTAGCGGTTAGCAGCCCAACTGGGAAGACTCTACACCATCAGGGCTCCCGCATAGATGCAGCTCCCCGGCCCGGCCCAGCGCCTGGCGGGGGCATTACCCTCCGGGGTCAGCTGCAATTCCACCTTGAGGCATAATGAGGATCGCACAAGACAGATGGCAGCGGCTGCGGGCGCCTATGCTAATTCCCCAGCCAGTGGACCAGGAAATGAGCGGCCATTTGCGCTCCATCAAGACACTGCGATGCGGCCTGCTGAGCTGATTCTCCCCTCTTGCGCACTGTCCCTCTGTCGGGCGTTAGAGCAGGCGGCTGGCAGATCTGCTTCCCCGAGCCCTCTGATGGTTGGGGTCCCAGCACCTCCCTTTGGTTCAGCCCTGTTGGGAATGGGGGCGAGGACGGCATCACCGGGGTAGGGGTGGGGCTGTGAGGCTGTGGGAACAGAGCGTCTCTGGACTCCTGGGATGGCAGTGAGGGCGCGATGCTGCCTGGTTTCAGATACTGTGCCCTGTCTGGGGCCATGCCCGGCTGCCTCTTTGGCTGCTATCAGCTCCGTTTTATGCAAACTTTGTCGCCTCTGACCCTGGGACCTGACACAGCTTTGGACCCTGGAAGAGGGAGCTTGGGGGGTGACTCCCATGTGTGTGTGTGTGTGTGTGTGTGTGTGTGTGTGTGTATGTGCTTGTGTGCATGCTCTGTGGGCACAATCATGTGCTTGTATCTGCACATCCACACACGCATCCATACACAGGAGCTGTCTGTCAGCGATGGTGCTGTAATTCCCTGAGAAGCTCATCTGTACTATGTCCTGGGGGACCCAGCAAGGCACCTGGGCTACGCCAGGCCCTTGTCCTGAAGTGGGAAGCAAGTCCCCTTTGAAGGGGTCTGTTTACACAGTCATGGCTCCCCGCCATGTTTTCCAAATCCAGGAAGGTGGCTGGATTTGGAATCTGTCTTAAAATTATGAACACACATATTCTATTTTATTTTTTAAGTCTGGTCTGTAGTTGTACTTAGATAAGGAACAATAATCAGCCCAGGCAATGAAGGAATTACGTTTAGATGTGGGGCGGGTATGCTGTTGAGTAGAAAACTATGCCTGCTCACCCGAAGGCCATTCTTCGTGGCTGGTTTTCACCGCCTGGTCGGAGAGAGGGCCCTTTTGGCAACATTATCCAAAGGCTCCGTGCCTTTTCCCAAGGCCGCAGCTTAATTCATGGCCACATCAGCCATTCTCTTCTGAGTGTCACCCCCGTCACCACCTTCCCCCTTTCTTTCCTTCAAACCTCCAGTGCCAGACTCTCATTTGTCAGTGGCTTTGCATGGAATGCAAATGGTGCTCCAGCAACATTGCCGAGACTCAGATGACCTGCCAATGGGACACAACTTCACTTTGCAGTTGATTTACCCGGAGTTTGCATTGTTTTGTTGGAAGGCCCAACAATTAGTGGCAGACAAGAAGACAGTAATAGAGTGAGCCAAGGTAGACACTGGAGTGTGGCCACGGGGACCTTTTGCATGGGCAGTTCTTGTGTACACTGCCAGCTCTGTCAGGGACACACGGTTAGGAGGGCTCTGGCTCCAGTAGAAGGCCGATGGCGATAGGACGAGCCCAGTGGGTCCCACGCGTGTGGTGGTTCTCTCCGTAGGTAACCAGACTCTCCTCTCTGTAACAAGACACAGTGGAGGCCATGTCCTTTATCCTCGTCCTAGGAGGGGACACGGGCCTCTGAAAGAGCCCTGTCAAGTCTACATCGGGAGCTCTTAGCCAGAATAACTTCAGTCCCAATTGTGACCTCCTTCAATTGAGTTCTGTCTGGCAAATTTCTCATCCCTCAGTCAGGGTCTAGGATTCAGTCTAAGACGAACCCCCTGCCCCCAATTTCCCTAGCACTCTAGGAGGGGATGAAAAATACTTTGGGAAACCCATTTCATTGAACATCATGGTATCAAGCAATAAAAGTAATGAATAAAATGTGAGCGATCGCTATTGCCAGGTATCATGGTAAACACTTCACAAATCTGACCTCACTAAAAGGAAACAGAAGAATGACCTAGGAAGCAAAGCTATGGATAGAGGTATAAGCATTGGGGTGTCCGTATGTAAATACATTAATCCATATAAATAGAGGTATTGGCCTATGTGCATATATTTATATGGCAATACACAGAGGTAGTGGACGAACTTTGGGCCTCTGCTCATACCCTCCCTCAATACAAGAACACTTTGTTCTAACAAATTGGTAATCTGAGATGCTCACCCTCCTGACACAACTGCTGAAGACAAAAATGGGTGCTTAAGCAAATGTGGTAAAGAAATCAGATGGTGCCCGGCTATTAAAAGATAGAGCGTCTGGGGTCTTAAAGTGAAACAAGTGGCCATCCAACAGAGAAACAAAAAGCACACATGAAAGAAGCACGCCAGCCTGTGCAATCATGAGGTGTCATAGGGACCAAGTATCAGGCATAGGAAGACCCTTATAATCAAACAAATAAAGCCATATGGTTAAGAATGAGGGAGATCAGAGCAGAGACCCAAAGCCCACCTGTAGACAATGGAACATGCCCCACAGAGGGGTCACATGGAAGGGATGAGTCAACAAGGGTGCAGTAAAACACCGATGAAACACACAATATTCCTCTGGTTCCTTGAGGTTTCCTCATCCCCCACCACCATGACCCCAGTAATGCCTCTCATTTCAAACTAGTCCGGAGCATGTACACAGCTGGAGTAGATAAGAGCTCACAAAACATGCAACCCAGGAGCAGGTATGGGAAGAGAGGAGGGTGAAGGGGGTAGGGTGTGGGGAGGAGGGGAAGAAGGGGGAACCAATCACAATGACCAACACACAACCACACCACCCCCTCCAGGGGAAAGAACAACAGAAACCATGGGGGAAGGGAGACATTGGTCCGTGTGAGATATGAAAAAAGTAATAATTTATTATCTATCAAGGGGTCACGAGGGTGTGGGGGAGGGAGGGAAGGAAAAAGAGGAGCTGATCCCAAGGGCTCAATAGAAAGTAACTGTCTAGAAAAGAATGATGGCAACAGATGTATAAATATGCCCGATACAATTAATGTATGGGTTGTCATAAACATCATAAGAGCCCTCAGTAAAAGAAAAATAATGATCAGTAGTTGTTCAGATAAGAAAAAAGTCAAGTGAATCAGCAAATTATATATGCTTACTTACGCATTTCATTGTAACTTAAATAAACATTCATTTTCTAAAACTAAATACCTGACCTTACTTAATGCTCATGGCATTTTTAGGGTTCCCCGCTTTGCATTGGAGAGAATAAAGACCTAGGAGGATCAGAATCGTTCTCCCACACAGAGAGAAGCGCACATGGTGAGCTCAGATTTGGACCCGGACGGACGGTCTAACACTAGATCTCGTACTTGTAACTGAGAGCCCCCTTGGCTGCTAATTTGATGATTCTCTCTCAGAGCAAACTCCCTGCTATCACATCGATTCTGAGTATTGGCGACCCTCTGGCCAGGGCAGAACTCCCCTGTGGGTTTCTGAGATGGTAACTCTTTACGGAGTAGAAAGCCTCATGATTTTCCCAAGGAGTGGCTGGTGGTTTTGAACTGCTGACCTTGTGGTTAGCAGTCCAGTGTGTAACCACTACTCCACTAGGCCTCCCAACCATTCCCTGTGGCTTTGAATGACGGCGAGGAGCAGAATTCAGACGTTTGAAGAGTTGCATAGCCAGGATCACCTAGCCACCCCCCGACACTTACTACGGATGAAAGAGAAGGCCAAACAAGGGGTCCAATACCGCCTCCCAAATCACTCCTGTGGCCTACCTTTGAGTCAATTCCGACACCTCGTGACCTTGTGGGACAGACGGAACTGCCCCATGGGGTTCCCAAGGCTGTAAGCCACGTCTGTGTCCTGTGCAACGATTGGTGGGTTCCCCCCACTGACTTACAGTTAGCAGCTAAGTGCTCAACCAAGGCGCCACCAGGGCGCCGTCCCAAACCGATAGCAAAATGCAGTTAGTATGGGATCTCCTAAGCCCTTACCAAATGTACTTTCTGTGGCCTCATAAAACCCATTTAGAACATTCTATGCAGAAGTCAAGAAACTGGTTTTTAAGAAAGGTCACCCCAGAAAGGCAGCTCAAAGATGCCCTTCATTCCTTGAACTGAAGCGAACACTCCGTTGACCAGGCTCCATGCACTCCACTCCCCTCCCCCCACCTCAGAGCTCCTTTATGGCCACTGGAAAGTCACTTTTGGGGGGGCTCATTATCCCTCCAGAGCTGGTGCTGCTCATTTGCATATGAAAGAGGAAGTCCACAAAAGCCCTTTCTTATTTCCTAACACAGGGGTTCAAATCAGGGGCCATTATCACCCTATAGAAAGACCCGAATGGCATATGGATCATTCTGGGGAAGAGGTGAGCGCCTTTTAAGAGAATTGTTTTAGTTTGTGCAGGAAATTAATCAGAGGGACGGGCTTTGTGGAGCGGGGAGCAAATCTAATCTGTCCTTTGTTCAAATTTGCCTTGCTCCAATTCTTAGCAATTGTAGACAACATGCTCTTTTGTTCGAGAGACACTTGTTACATGCATAATTAGAGACTGCCATGGCTGTGTTTAAAGAAAAACTGTTTTCCAATGTAATGTGTGATCTTGATAACAGTATTTTCATCAAAGGTAGCAATTACATTCATTAAGCTGGGACTGGCGTGGCGGCAAGGAAATTAAGTGGAAAGTGAATAAAAAGCTCCCCTCCCCCCTTTTTTTAGCTTCTTTTTTTTTTATCTCCTTCGCTTTACAAGTTGGATTGCACCATGGTGAGCTGCTCCCGGGGATACATAGTGGGTATAAAAAAAACTCCTCCTTAACCTTTCTGAATAATGACCCTGCAGATATCCTCGGATGGCAACTAGAGATGCACTTTTCAAATGAAAGGGCTTTATTCTGCCTTAATTTCCTATGCCCGTTTAAGACGAGCTCAACGTAACACTCGGGTCTTTAAAGGCTGCAGGGCTCTTTAGGGTTAATCCACGGTTCTTTTCACACACAAAGTGATAGTTGTGTGCTCTCGAACACACACACACAACCAGACATTAATCAACCAGTTTAGGAGAGAGACAAAGCCAGTTGCTTATTTTTAATTACCCCTTTATTTATTTAGGCTTCTTCAGAATTTAACTCTGAGGATGGTATCAGTGAAACCCACACGTGGAAAAAGAGTCCAGGAAGGAAAAAAAAAAAAGCCCCGTAGGTTTTTAAACCTCAGTGCATCACTGTGAGAAAACGTCCTAGTAAAGGGTGTGTGTGCGATTCTGACTCACAGCGACCGGGACACAGAGCAGAGCTGTCCCAGACAGTATTCCAGACCACAGTCCTTCTGGGAGC